TTCATTTCTATGGGCACTTTAATTCCATTTGGCATTACAAATATAAACAGGACAATGGAAAACAAACAATTTACAAGATCGTGTAGAAAATCGATGACCCGATTCTGGATAACAAATAATGACAGTTGTGTGCTTGAAGACAAACAAGGCTTTCTAATAGGAACACAGTGCATTATCACTTAACGTACACCTCGACTGCCAAACTTTCTATTGCTGATTGTGAAGGTAGACAAATTATGTGTTGCTAAAACACAATCTGTTAATCACTCTATAGATTTATCTGAAGTTATGAGAGCACATGGAGGAGTGACGGTGATCGCAGTTCTGCACCTCTACTTTAGCGTGATGAAGAAACCTTTCAATCGAAACTTAATAGGATGCATCCTGCCGAGTTCATTCCAAGTATTTAGCTTTTCATTCAAATTCTGCAACTCGAGGGATCTGCACACGATCACAGCAGAAATGTTAAGAGGCATCATACACAGCAGAAGCATATCAGGTGGCTTATGTTTAGTACCCTTAATTCATACAGTCACACTTGTCAGCATACTGGGGTTTGTTTTTTTTAATTCAAAGTGATGACACAGCTCACTGAAGAGCTTTCACATTCAAATAGAAGTGAAACAGCATCTCTGTTAGAAGGTGTTCAGCTGGAAACCGTTTCATACGCACAGTTTAAGGTGTTTAAGTAAAAACCGCATGCACAAAAACATCTTAATCATGCTGTTAAATACCCTGCTATACCTACAGAGGGTGGAACACTTATAGTGAAGAGGCAAAATGTAAAAACCCTTGAGAGCATTTAGCAGGAAGCTGTAGTCACTGCTGCTATAGATGGAATTTCATTATTTCTCAGGTGACTAAGGTACCTTTTACTTTAATTATGACTTTCCTTAATACAGCCAGTGATTTGAGGAACAAGTGCAAAAGTATTTATTTATTTATTTATTTTCAGTTTCTGCCATGTGGCAGTTCAAAGCTCTACCATGTGGATCGCATTAAAGCCTTTTCAAATACTCCACATTAAGATGGAAGGTGAACGAGGTCTCAAGTGAGCACCAATCAGCAGCAGCCATTCGTGTAGGTCAGAGGTCATCTCGCTTCCCTCGCACCACTAATAAAGTCTCTCGTGTTAGTTTGGGGAGGGAGAAAGGTCAAACAGATGGCACAATGACAGCAAGATTCAAGAGTGAACAGGTGAGGGGGGGGGGGAGTGCAAAAAACTTCCAGTTGCTCCGTACTACTGCGTGTTTGTACATATGTACACTGTACAGGCTTTGTGTCGAGTGGCTACTGCAGGTAGCGGTAGACTTTGAAGCAGTGGTTGCCAGAATCGGCGACCACGACGTGTCCGTCTGAAGTGAGCGCCAGTCCCTGCGGGCCGTAGAGGGGGTCCGCTGACGTGTTGATGTAAGAGAGGAATGAACCGCTGCCATCAAACACCTGAGAGAGAGAGAGAG